ACCGCTATCTGCGGCCTGTCTGAGCCTTGGGCCATCTGCGGCCTGCCTGAGCCTTGGTCAGCTGCTGTGGCTTTGTCCAGAAGATGTCCGCCCTAATTAGCATATTACCCTTTTATTAGTATAGATTAGTGGCCTGGTGCACGAAATTTATTCATGGGAGGGAGGGTGTCCCTCAGCCTGGCCTGACCCCTCTCCAATCTGAGACCCCTTGGACATCCCTCTCGCAATCCAGTACTGCTGGCTCCTAATCACTCACCTGCCTGCCTGCCTAATTGCCCCTAACCACTCTGTCTGCCAGCCTGATAGCCTCTACGTGCCCTCCCCACCCCCCCGCCAGCCTTCTCACCCCTAACCGCCTCTGCCTCGGCCCTACCACCCTTGCTTTGTCTGGAAGGATGTCCGGAAGGTCTCCTGGTCTAATTATCATATTACTCTTTTATTAGTATAGATTACACACAGTAAGCAAACCAGAACTTGAACTTGGGTTCCTTAACTTTCTGTTCAGTTTCCTTCCTATGGTGTCATTCACATTCTTAAAATGTTTATTTACTTATAAAAATTCAATTCTGTGGTCCTATGAACACTTGCTAGAGAATTATTTATCTCAAAATATAGGCTCAATGTAGAATGCAAAAGGAAAATAGCACAGATATGTGGATAATATATATCTTCCTCGTTTATAAAATAAATAAGAGGCTAACCCAGGGCCAAAAAGAATAAACATTCATGAGTTTTCCCTCTGTTCAAGCTTCTTTTACAAGTGCTAAATGTTAAGTCATATTTTACATCTTGATGTAGGTCTTTGTAGTCTGAAATACATTGTTTGAGTTTAGTGTAGAAAGCAAGATGAATTCCACCTCAGACTGTGAAATGGAAATAAATTTATTAATGGTTGTTTTAAATGGGGTTTGTATAAAAAATGTAGTTTCATGAAGAAAAAGGTCCAGAAAGGGGTGGAGAGTTTAGTTAATTTTAGAAGAGAGAGGATAAAATACTAGAAGTTAAATAGGCCAGAATATTTTGTTTCTATCTAACATTCCTTCCTCTCTACTGAAGTTGTATAAGGCTCCTAGACACAAGCTATTAGAAACTATCAAAGGATGAAATTGTTGGGCTGATTAGTTAGACACCTCCCCCACTCTTTTAGAGGTAAAAGAAGGGCTAAGGAATCTGTTAAATTCACAAAGCAAACTGCATGTATTTTATATGGAGAATTGACTTTTCCCAGCAATTTTACTAATGTTTGGTCTAAATAAGTCATACAATCTACATACGATATAACAGGGGTCCTCAAACTTTTTAAACAAGGCGCCAGTTCACTGTCCCTCAGACCGTTGGAGGGCCGGACGATAGTTAAAAAAAAAACTATGAATAAATTCCTATGCCCACTGCACATATCTTATTTTGAAGTAAAAAAACAAAACGGGAACAAATACAGTATTTGTATTTGCAT